TATCTTACAGTTGAGCTGCAGTAGAGTATTCTAGCCCTTAAACAGATAACCAGGTGTCTCGCCAGATATAATGTAAGTTGGAGAATTCCAAAGGACCTTCTGCGTCCGAGCTGAGATTTCGTAAGCGATCAGCGCGTTCGTGCTGATGCAGGTCCCCAAGTACGTGAAGTGGTCAGTGAGTTGTACCGTTTTGCTCCTTATCCATAGCCTAGAAATTGGCACACACCAGTCCTAAAGAATCACCTTCCATTTGACATCTGCGAAACGCATGCCAAACATACTCGGATTTCCGCCCACCGCTTCAAGAAGACTTCATTTTGTCAGTTTCTTGGGGTTAAGGCGATTTTGTTTGCGTATTCCAAGTCAACCGGGTTAATCTTTGGAAAATCGGACGTAGTTCGAGTTATACTCGTTAGCGCGTCCGTGACGATTGAATAGAAATGGTAATGCACTATTAAGTGTAGAATTACTGAGCAATATAATCATTTCATTAAAGTGATGTTATGTGGAAATGCATAAAATTGGCAACTTTCCGGGAAATGAGCGTGCTGATATTCAAATATACATGTTCAAAAGTCTAGGTAGATGTTTCAAAGATGCACGATTAGGCTTACGGCGTACGGTAAACCGGTTGAATTCTAACCGACTTGCTCGTTCATTGTTCTCAAACGTTGATGATAGTGGCTCATTGAAATTTAGTTAATTAATGCCTTTTGAGCTCGCTCATTATTGTTATTTAGAAATAAAAGTCAACAGTGGGCATCTTTACCATTTATGCCAATTGTAGAGGGTTAATACACCGGTGAGCTTTCTGTAGGCTGTATGTGGAGTTACATGCTCTGCAGTTTCGCTGCACTCTTCACAGTCCAATGGATTTGGATATTCACAGCGACTGTATTTTTATTCATTCGAAAATTTAAGTATCAAATAACCATGTTACATCGAAAAATGGGTTGTAAGTGAAAACACTAATGAAATAAACATTAATGTGACTATCCTCGGCACATGTTCGCGTACTGGACTATGAGCCACGTTGTGTGACAGCTTATGATACTACCGGGTTGTTCGGGTAGATGTAGTAAAATTTTAATCTACGACCCAATAGCTGGTAGCCCATTGTCTACGCCAATTAGTTCGTTAATTAGCCAAATCTTCCATGAAAGTATGACTACTGTCTTGGTTGTTCATTATGAAGGTTGTATATTATTAAAATGGAGGTAGTAACAAAAAAATTCCACTCAATCCACCGATTTCAGGCGTGTTTACCCTTATATTGAAGAAAAAAATATTGAAGTTAACTTTTATTTTGTGTTAAAATTAATTTAACAAACTACGCGCAAACCTCGTCCAATTCACTAGTTAATAGCTGGTACTAAACCCACATAAAGAGGGAAGGTTAGGCATAGAGCTAGCGACCCTATCCCGTGAAACCAATCCAATCGCTAAAGAAACTTCAAAGCACAAAAAATATGAAAAATGAAAATAAACTTATTTTTGGCTGAAATCGAGGAGACAAAATGACGCCGATTGGTGAAAGCCTTCGAGAAGCCAGTCGGTCGATGTATCTTCTCTCCCTCGATGAAAGCAAAAGTAAGAATGGGGACATGGAATGTCCGCACAATGTTTGAAGCTGGCTGGCAAAGTTGTCGAGATTGCAAAAGAAATGAGAAGATATAACATAGAAGTGCTAGGAATCTGCGAAAGCAGATGGAATGGAAGGAGACTCTCAACACTGTCAACTGGAGAGTCAATAATCTACTCCGATATTGTCACCCAGAAGACAACCGCGAGCACACGGAGGGAGTGGCTATCATGATGTCTCCAAGATCATTGGAGACTCTCAGGCAATGGGAACCAATCTCCTCCACGATCAGGATCATGATAGCAAGATTCAACTCATAAGGAAGGAAAGTCACAATCATGCAATGCTACGCGCCAACAAATAATGCAGATCAAGAGAAGGAGGAATTCTATAGACAACTGCGATGAGTACTAGAAAAGACTCCAGTTGACGGCATCAAAATTCTAATGGACGACATGAATGCCAGACTCGGAGCAGACAACACCGGAAGAGAACTCATCATGAGTGGAGAAGCACTCGGTGAAATGGTGAGTGAGAATGGAGAACTGTTTGCAGATTTCTGCGCATTCAACGATTTGGTGATTGGAGACAGTGTGAACAAACAAAAGGATATTCACAAAGCGACATGGATTTCACCAGACACCAGGACACAGTAATGATCAGATTGACTTCATCTTAATGTGAAGAAAGTGGAGACGCAGCCTACTGGACACAAGATCAAGAAGAGGAGAAGATGTAGCTTCAGACCACTTACTCTCTAGTGCAATAAACCTACCTTCAAAATCAAGTTGAAAGCCTCCACAGAAGTTAGTGATAGGCCACAGTTCATGTTCAAGATGCAGAACAGAAAGTAAAGGACGAAACTACAAAGGACATCTTCACGTCAGCTATCAGGAGAAAATGGGAGACATTCGGCAACATCCCTGAAGGAACCTGCTTGAAATAACACTGGAACTCTTTGAAAGAGAAGTGGAAGAAAACCGTTTTAGAAAGGAAGAAGAAACAAAACGAGGAATTGATTTCGACGAACACATGGAGGCTAATAGAGGAGAGGAAGATGGTGAAGCAGGAGATAAACCTGTACAGGGATGAACTGAACCAGAAAACACTACACTATACCAAGAAGTGAAGAGTGCAGGGAAAGACAAAACACACTTCTACGACACAGTTGCAAGTGAAGCAGAACAGGCTGTAGGTAGGAGAGACCTGACAACAGTATATCCAATAACCAGGTTACTATCTGGGAAGAGATCAACACAAATGAAACCAATGAAAGATAGTGAAGGAAACCTAGTTACCAAAGAGGAGAAACAAAGGAAACGATGGGTTGACAACTTCAAAAAGCTCTTGAAGCAACCACTATCACCACGTGCAGCTTGTCTAGAAATACCATCTGCTTCCAAGCCACAGAACTGTCAGTGAACACAAGCCCTCCAACAAAAGCAGAAGTGGAGTTCTGAACGCCATAAAGATACTGAAATGCGGCAAAGCAGCACGATCAGATAGGATTCCACCAGAAGCACTGAAAACAGACGTAGAGACAACAGTGGACTTGCTCACACCTCTGTTGCAGAAGGTTTGCAAAGAAGGAAGGAAAGTTACCTTCCGATTGGAAAAAGGGCTACCTTGTCAAACTTCCAGAGAAGGGAGACCTATGTCTTTGCAAGAACTGACGCGCAGTTATGCTGCTGTACACCCCAAGCAACTTATTAAGCTGCATCATCCTGGAGAGACTAAACAATGCTCTGGATTCAAAATTACGACCGGAACAGACTTGCTGGATTCAGGAAGAACAAATCATATGCGAATCAAATTGCAACGCTACGCATCATAGAAAAGAGCATAGAATGGCAGTCAACAGGATCTTTAACTGAACTTCATCAACCTTGAAAAGGCTTTTGACAGCGTCGAGAAGTAGTTTGGCAGGAGGCTGCTTCAACACTACGGTATTAGTGCTACAAACCTTTATCAACCTCATTCAACAACAGCTATATGCTGTGCTATATAATGAGGCCACATGCCAAGTGATTCATAATGGAAAGCTTTAGAAGTGAAGCTGTCTCTTTCATGTACCTAGGCAGCATCTTTTCAACTACAGGCGGCGCAGATGAGGACGTCAAAGCCAGGATCGGAAGAGCAAAACAGACCATTGACCTGAAATCAGTGTGGAGATCTACTGCACTCAGCACAGACAACAAGATCCGGATTTTCAGCACCAACGTCAAGTCAGTGCTTTTAAATGGTTCAGAAACTTAGCGCGTCACGAAAAGCATTTCCAACAAACTATAGACATATCAACAGCTGCCTACTCTCGATACTGAGGATCATATGGCTAGAATAATAAGAATAAACAACAAGGAACTGTGGCTGGCAACTAACCAAGACGCTGCCGCCCAACAGATATGCAGAAGGAAGTGGAGATGGGTCAGGAATACAGTAAGGAAACCACTTGGGGACATCAGGCGCCAGGTCAGGTCGTCAAGTGGAGCCCACATGGGAAACGACGACTTAGGCGTGCGAGGGTGACATGAAGGAGATCATGTGAAGAAGAAATGAAAGCTTCTGGGCAGCCGTGGAGTCAGGTTCAAAGACTGCGGAAAAGAGTGAAATCGCGATGCGCTGCTGAATCCCTATGTTCCACTAGGAACCCAAATGAAAAATAATAATAATAAAACTACGCACATCCCCTGTTTCACATCCTAAATAAAGTTTTAAAAATGGGGTATTGTCTTTAAGTGCACTACTCTGCATAAAATTAATTCCTCTGGTATTTAGACTAAAAACAAACAAGTACAAAATATAGTACTTTATTTGCTTGTTTATTTTCCATCTTTACTTTTCTCCTTAACCCTTTAGGTTCTCGGTTTTTCGCCTTTTTTACTCTATCTCTGTATTAACAAGTTTGTCATCCACTTAATACTTGGATTTTGTTACTATTCCTATTTGTGATAAATAAGTCTTTATTTTAACACCATCAAATATGTTAGTATTTGGTCAATGCATATGATCCTCTATGTTCATAAATGGCGAGAACCAAAGACAGATCCGTTTGGGAGTGTCTCTGAACCGTAGACCGAGAAAACTTCAAGAATGTTGAACAGTTTTTGGCAACCCAACAATAAGGTGAGTGGGCTCATTGACATATACCGAATTTGTTGTCTGGTGAAAAGTCGCAATCGAATATAATTCTGTAAAATAGCCTATAAGAATGTATGTTTTCACAATGACAACAAAATTTGGACCTAATAGTCGTACTCGCTAAACAGGGTCGCAAACAGCTCAGATCGTTAGTCTTGGAATTTTCCACAGCTAGATAGTGTAAATACTGCATGCTGTTGTACTTGAAAGAAAATTTAAATGTATTTATCTCCCCTTACTTCACTGGTCTCGTTCGATATTTTTGCTTCTCACTTCAGGCATGGGTGATGGATTCCGTCTGCCAAATGGAAACTCTTCAACCATTTCCAATACCGTTGAGATAGATGATGAAGTTGATTATATGTCTGATGCTATTTTAAAAGAAATGTAACGTTTTCCGCTTACTTGATAAACTTCTAGAGAAGATGTGAAACCTGGATTACTTCTGTCACGCGATACACAGCGAAAACGTGTAGTGGAGCAGAATCGACGGAAAAACAAATGTCTTTCGAAATCGGAAAGAGAAATGCATAATTTGAAGGAGGGCCTGAAAAAGAAAGTTGGGCCAGAGAATAAGGGATTCAGTTTATTGTCAAAAATGGGCTACATTCCCGGAAAAGGCTTGGGAAAAAACGGTATGTGTAGCTCATTCGTACAATCGTGTTTTTGCGTTAAGGTCATTTTTGACTACATACCAACCGCTATTTATGAAAACAGTGAGACATAAAGCAAATATTTTTATGGTAAATAACAAAAAAAATTGAAATATAAGTAAGCGTACAATCTTCACAGAATGTCAGTAAGTTGTTTCCTTTTTTAAACGTGAGAATTAGGGGGTTTAAGTGGTTGTGGACAGGTGTAGCTGTGACTCATTAGGATAGGCACTCGGGTTGCAGTCGATGTGTCACAAGTTCGAGCCACACTACCTACCGACGTTTGGACAACCAAGCATCAGCCGTTACACAAAAGGTGTGGTTTATTGTGTACTGCATAAATGTGCAAGTGGTTGCTGAATGCATTTCATTTCGGTTGCGGGCAGAATATGTTAGTTAAAGAGTGGTGCTTTTCACTTCTGTAACTTCGTTTTATTAAACATCAAAATAACTTTTTCAGTACCTATTTTACACTATCGTATCCAGTAGTAATAACAACAACACTGGCAGGCACCATGAAGGGTCGCTTATAAAGGAAATTACCGTCAGTATCGGTAAAGTAGTGCTACCTTATTTGAGAAATCATTCGTATTTGTCTTCTGTATCCAGTAAATCTTGTTTCTCTGTTGAGAGCTTCTGTCGGTTGATCGTCTTCTCCTTTCACTTTCCCAGAAAATGTCACACCATATACTGCTAAAATGAATTGATATAAATAGCGTACAGTACGGTATAATTTCACTGGCTAGCATTTTTTATATTAGATTTATGGGTTTTAAATGATGAATTTGTCTATACAAGCATCCTCAGTGGGACTGTGGCTCATTGGTGTAGACGTTTGACTTTCAAGCAATGACTCTTAGGTTCGAATCCCGCTTCACCTACTTAGGGCTTCGTATCCGGGTGGTCTCATAACCCCCCTCCCACATAATACGTGTGGCTCATAGACCAATGCAAAAATACATGTGAGGGGTTGAGCTGCATTATTATTTTGAATTGACAATAAGAATCTGTTATAAATAGTGGACACTCTATACATCATCTACTTTACCTCCATCATGTAACCCGTTTGTGATACTATATGTAAACAGGATTACTGTGTCATACTTTTGCGTGTATTCTTTCTTTATAATCGTTTAAGATATTAATTCAGTCTTACCTTCAGTTGTTTCTTTTGTTATACTGTATATAAGTGTAAAAACTAGGACCGTCGGTTGTCGGTATCAGGCTTCATGTTTACGAACTATTGAAGCAGCGTTGAGTTGTCAGTATTACGTTGCATTTTCAAAAAAAGATTACTTCTCAGGCCTTTTGCTGCATAGTTTTTATTTGGATTTTTTTAGCCACTGGCATAGCCGATCCTGTTTCCATCGAGATTCCTCAGGGTCGGGAGGGTCTTGGTTTCACAACTGAAAAGAATGAACGCATAATGTTTAGAGAAACTCTTAGAGAGCAGCTACAGATTGCATGCAAAAATGGATTTCGAGACATCATGGCTATTAGATTTCGACAAAATCGTTTGAACCGACAATTTCATGCTGCTCGTCGAATTTGTCGAGATCTGGATATGAAGGAATCAATTGAAATTCCAGTTGATGAATCATTTTGGCCTCCCGCAGATCCTGTCCCAACTGATATCGTACAGGATCCTAAACATGTGATGGTTGATTGTTCATACAATTGTAAATCTTCAAAGGACAGGGTTCCAACACCCAGTATAGTGTCTCAAGATGATTTTAACGAGGAATTTCAGGATAATGATTTGGTCAAATTTGACCCAACTCATGCGAACTGTGATTATAAATCCGTAAGTGCTTAATTCCTTTTTCTTGCTAGAGTTTGCATTCACACTAGATGAGTACATATTTTCATCAAGGTAATTTAGTTATAATGTCGAGGTTCAGTCTGATAATTGTTCATATTTTCTACGTAAGAATTGAGTCCTCATCAAGCTATGTAGAACAAAGCAGAGTATATATAAGCTTTCATTTTGCGGACTGACTATCAAACATGTGCTTAAATTACCTATCCGATGGCTTTTAAAACTTAGTAGTTTTTAAGATCGTAGCGAGGGGTCACGCAACAACAAGTTGCCAAACAGTTATGTATACTGCTCTTACTTTTCCAACTATGAAAGTTAGGATTTTCGCTATCGTAAAAGATGGTTTTGTTCAGGTTATAAAAATCGCCCTTTGCAGAGTTTGTCTCCTACTTTTACATACATAGATTCTAAAGTAATTTGTACATTGTTCAAAAGATTTTCTTCCAGTTTTCCATGAAACTGTTGAAGTTATAGTGTTTTAGGATACGATTTTTGTCTTTTAAGGAATTAAGACAGTGCTACTAAAGAATAAAACTGTCATATCAGCATTTAGCCTTTTTTATATTATAAGTAACCTGTGTGTATATTTGAAATTTCTCCAGATTCAAAGAAGTTTTATGCTGCTTTTGGGTTACCTACGAAGCCGACATTATTACTGTTTCTGGTGCAGCTTGCAGTACACGAATCAGTCTGAGCTTCTAAACCAGTGCCCTGGAGAGGAAGAAGATGACCATGACTAATGCATTTCACTGGAAAATTTGTATATGTATATAGTTTAAAAGAAACTGTCGTCTACGTTCGAGAAAAATTCTGGTGTATCCCACTAAGTTAAAAATATATAAAGTCCGTTAGTCGAATAGTTGCTTTGTGAGTACCTCATCGTCTCTCATTCGTTAAAGGGTGGATCTAACGTGAATTGTTGAACATTTTCGGTAGTCTTTTGATATCGTTTCCGTTAAACCTATATTTTGATACAAATAAGGACACTTAATTGATAATCAGTTTTTCATCGCCTGGTAGGTTATTCAAACAGCACTGAACGTCTTGCATTGGGGGAAATTCTTATGTAGTTCGAAATATCGTTACTTTTCTAATAAGATGGATGCTGGATTCACTCGTGAACTTCCAGCAGACACTTACCCTAAAACAACCGTGGTTGGTAAAATGTATCACGTATAAATGATATTGAAAGGTTAATTTAAAAAAGGTTGAGACTCAGATCATTTATCATGCAAAGGTGATCGAATAATCACAGTCATCTTAAGTGACCAGTGGTGAATGAGTCAGGCTTCCACAGCAATCAGATGATTACGAATTTATCAAATTAATTTTAACAGGTTTATGAGAGCTGTAACAATGAGCATTGTGGCAGTTTAAGACCTTGATATATATTTACAACAAGAAATAAGTGAAATGTATTCAAGAAGAGGAGTGACATATTTCAAAACTCTCCTGCATTGTAGATGAAAAAGATATCGGTTTTGCATTGGTGAAAAAAAGAACACATCCTAAGTGATTTATGTTGTTAGGAGGTAAGTAAAACATATTGGGCATAAAACTACTATTGCGTGAAAGACAGACAGACGAAATCAACGTAGAACCCTGCACAAAGTGCTTCGGTTTAAGTTGCCACACTTCATACGAGGAAAAAGTGGACGGTTTATGGGAGAATTTGGAAAATGAAGGTGGGTGCAAACATTCAAGCATTAGAAGACATCAAAGAGTGAATACTTCTGCGCCACGTCATCAAGAGTCCTCAGCCATTGATTCCTATCCACTTGGTGACCTCAGCTCAGTAGCTACACGTCTCAAACCAAAAGTCGGGACTTCATTTATTTGTGTCACGTCTTTGTCTGGTCACCCTGAGCCTTCTGACAACCTTATCGGACTCGACTAACATTGCAGGTCGAGGTGGGTGGCGACTCAGCATGCGCTAAACATGTTCAAGTTACCTCAGCCGATGAAGGTTTACGACCTCATTGGCTGACCAAACTTCCTTGCCCAGTGCCTTTCCCTTGACCTCGACATTGCTCACATGGTGATTCCACTACACGCGGTCAATGCTACGAAGATACCTATGGTCAAAACCGTCTAACTATTTTATGTCTTCTTTTAGCCGGCATGTCACAGCCGTATAGCAGAGAAGGGCAGAACGGACTGCAGCGCGATATACTTGTCCTTCAGTAGGTGGTCGGATATATCGCCAGACGCTCCAGAGCTGACGCAAGTTGGCAGCTACTAGATGAGCGTTCTCTATCCGAGATGAAATATCGTCAGCAACCAGCCCGTTCGGGCTGATGCAGCACCTCAAGTAAGTGAAGTGGTCGACGCATGAAAGAATTTCGTCTCGTTCCAGAAACTTACTAACATGTTGGAACACAACGTTCCGGAATTCATAATGCAGATATTCAACGGCAAATCTAAAAAACAGCACTAACCTCTCCTTTGGTTGGGTATTAATGCCACGTATATAGACGTTTGCGTGAAGTCATGGAAGGGATAATATATGTAAACCTACTTGAGTGAGTTTGTGGCAGTTGCCTAGGTTGTAGCTGGTTAATTTGAATCTCTTGCTAGAATAAAGGTGAAATGCATAATGTTGTGTTTTTATTTGACCTGTCTTGTAAGTGCAATTGAACTCAACTTTAAGTTAAGATGAACAGTAACTGTGAATATTACTGTTCATCATAATCTGAATGAAATACAAATTATTTGCGTGAAAAGTTTACATAAGTCTTTTTCGCACTTTTTATTCTGTGGAAATAAATCATAAACCTCTGCGTGCTAAACCTCACTTCTTACTTTGTATCCAGCTATGCCATAATCCGTATGACGTGGTATGAATAATCGTAGATTACTTTCGCAGTTTGCAACCTGTTGTTGCGTTGTCATCCTTATCGTTAAACAATCACCTCGACAACAATTCATGATTATTACTATCCTAACCAGTTTAACTTGAAAAAATTGGGCAAACTGATTTTATGTTCATAACAATTACTATAAGAATAGTACTTTTTACATCCTTTTTGTAGATAACAGATATGTGATACAAGTTACTGTTTTCGTTACGATAACTGGCTTCTTAAGGTTGATGGCAAGTGCATTTGAATGCTATGTTACGCCACCCTAGTTTCAAATAGTCTCTGACTTGGTATATGATTTTAAGTTTCATGAGAAATTATAGCAATGCGCTCAAATGTTTCTGCACACCAAACCTTGCATCATCTGATCATTTTTAGTTAGTGGGTTCACAAGCACTTTTTGAAGGGTCATATATTAGGGGAATTGTAAGTGAAAATACGGTTAGGAATCTGTTCGAGCAGCAAATGTAAAGGCGACTACTAGAACCAAGTCATAAGTGTACAAACTTCAGTCTGTCTGAAGTCGTAATGTCCCATTTGACAATCTGGTTCGAACTCCTTCAAGAACCACTTAGTGGGTAACTCCTTATGATTCCACTGAAGAAACTCGGAAAACATTCTTGAATGAGAAGTCAAAAATATCTTATGCTTTACATATGCCGAGATTTGTACAAAAAGCGACGCCTACCCTTCCCTGGCCTCCCAATATTTGTGAAAGTATTGGGTTAAATTTCATATAGATTATTTGAGAGGTAAACATTTTGCAACAAATATCTGTACCCAGTTAGTAGTTGTCGCTCACAGCAGAAAAGACTAAGATTCAGGTGAGTTCCTTTTCTATCGCCATCGGCTTTCCACCTACACGTTTTCAACAAACAATAATGCTGTCAATAGACAGTACGTATTTTCACTGCGAGCCAATACGGAAAGAAGAATATGTTGGACTAATGAGTTCTACGTAAAACGCGGTCTGCAAATTATGTCCACCTACTTTATCTCAATTCTTTGTTTTCTAACTTAGCAAGAGGTTAACGCTATTCTGTCTAACCAGTCATGCTTTTGATCTCCCTGATGCAATTGAATTACAAAACTCAGACGTAATTTGAGACTCAGCCAAACTATAGGGCATTGTACTTTCATTCTGTTCAGGTACATACCTAATACTTCTAGACATACTTTACAACTGATTTTACAGCCCTTTCTTTCTAATTCTTAGCGTAACGTTATCTGCTAGTTGAATATGCACAAGCTTAAGCAGCAACGTACTAGCATCAGCTCTAATGCATCTCATAACCAAAAACACGAACATGTACATAGTTTCTGAATTGTATTACTTAGCAGATAATAGATAAACCAAAATAATATGAAGATAATAAAAAGAAATATTAGTAAGTAAAACAAGTTAAACCAATGTGCGTGAATAAAGTACAGGAGTATATTTGCTTATCCCTTTATAAACATATAAGTTGTAAAATACATAAATTTAAATTTCAAGTATAAAGTTAGCGAAAAGAGAAAGACGAAATGATTTAATTTACTACCTTACAAAGAAGGCATGTTTTACTGGAAATACAGAGTAAGTCAACACAAAAGCAAATAAGTTAGAAGCTTGATAGTAAAATAATGCAAATTTGTACTGCTTGATTATGAAATAGGATAAATGCCAAGTTACTGCATGCATGAGCACTGAGATCAATAACAGTTGGCAATATGAGAACCATAACATTAAAACAATTGTATGTAAGAGTGAAGTGGTAACAGGGAAACCCGTTTAGAAAAGCTGAATATGTGAAATGACATGAAGTTTAAGAAATGTTGACAACACGGTTATAATAAATATCACTGAACGAGCCAAATATGCAATGCAATTCAATGCGTATAGAAAATACGATAATACAACCATTTAGACCGCCACAGTGAGAAAGAATTATCAAATTTGAATACATACACACCAACACCTGGATACTGATGTGTACCACAGTACACTTCATTATGACAATCTCTCCTATAGATAGGTATAAGTTCATCAGTAGGTACACGAGGTTGTGATGACTTTTTGCCTAATTCCAAATCATGAGGTCCTGAAAACAAAAATTTTTCCAGTCGGAAATGTATTGCAAATAATCAAACTAGCATAAACAATGAATGAGTGGATCGAAAACGTGGAGCAACTGTTTTATCTTTTGCTAATATTGTTAAACAATGAAGTCTAGTGACACACTACGTGTTCAATTTGAATGAAGAGTGCTAAAAAAAACTCCAATGAAGATGCAATTGAAGGTAAATAATGTTAAACCTGTTATCTTGCTGAACTCCAGCCTTCAGTTATACTGAGCTCAAGTGGGATGGAGAGATCAATATCAATATACCATTACAACTGGCATAATGACGACGACTGAACTCTGATTACCAGTGCACTTCAGTTTATCTAATATAGATATTACATAGTAGATTAACACTTTTGTCAAGTAGTCATATATATGAGCAGCGATTTTACATGCAAATCTATATTATGTGGTCTTTTCCTTGATGAGATACTGATGATGTCAATGTTAAATATGCACTCATCTTCGACTTCAAACAGCATACACAAATGTCTTTCTGATGTACTACTTTCATCCTCTGTGAATGGAAACTCTACTAAAATGTAAAATGACTTGTTTCACCTATTGCATATCGTTTTTCGAAATTGTACAGGTAACTTTCAGTATGTAAAATTCGTTGCCATTAAATGTCAGAATATTATTTTATCCAAATATTTTCTCCGCATCAAGTTCACAAGCTCATATTAAACATCGCTGTTTCTGTCTATTCAAAGAATCCTTTATTTTTATCTGTATGTACAACTGGCCTAGTTACAATAGTTGGTTTTTCCTTTGATTTAATATTTAACTAAAATACCCACATTTTCTATCGCTTAAATGAAGAGATAAACCTTATTCCATCAAATGAACTGTGAGTAGTAAGGTCTAGATTTTATTGCAGACCGAAACCTGTCCGTGTTCGTTAACGTTAAGCGGTAAATGAATGTGGTAATTGTTTGGTACTTTCTGAATCAGAAGAACATTAAACAGTTATAATCTTCATTATGAGCAACAAATCTCAAATGTATTCAACTTATTTTTACAAGGCAACTGCATTTGTCTCAAAGCTATTTTGAGGAAATCGACAACTTTTGGTAATCTTTACAACTTAACTCACTCTCAATCACAGTGACGTTGCCTTATAGTCAAAAACTTTAGAGGGTTAATTTAAGAGAATGAGCGCAGTACCAAAAGCTCAATTAGGAGCCACATATGAATTTCCAATCGTTACTATGAATTAATATTTTCACATAAAAGAATTCTGAACAGGATTTTCCGAATTATATGGCAGGAAAAAGCTTTTCCGATTATACTTCTCATTTTTCCCGACCGACAGCTGCTATCTTGACATGGTGATTGAGCTTGTATAGTACAATGACCCAAAAAGCTATGCTGGCTGGAACACTTGTTTCATGAGGTCCTACCACGCCAGAAAGGTCTCTTGGATAGTGATAAGACAACAATCAGTTATCGCTATAGTGCAAATAGTTACGCTATGATGGGAGTCCTAGGGCAAAGCTGTATGTACTGCTGACTGGACGGGGTGTTTCCAACAGACGACCAACAACACTATGTCAACGCTATCTTCCCTTCGAGAAGTGGCGATTATAAAAGCTTCGCCCTAGAAACAGTAAACGCTCTACCGTGTTATCTTTCAGTGCCTGCTTTATATGTTTTCCCAACGCCGTGTAAGAACAGTCAATTCTCAATCCAATAATCCCACAAAGGCCATGTGACAAACCTTAAGTAGATACCACATGAGCTTTGCAGTCACAAATATCTTTTCATTTCCTTCTTTCAGAAACCCTGCAGAAACAACTTCCATAGTGTGTAGCCGGAAAGTGTCAACCACCCACACCAATCTCCAGTCTCTCGAAACCCCGCTGTCAACTTTGTATTGGGTATTTCAACATCCGAACCCTATGCAAAAACAGAAAATAACCACCACTCACCAAAACTCTGGAATCTCGAGCCATTTATGCATGCTGTGTTTTTGAGACACGTATATGGGACCCGAGAGTAGTTATTAAATTGACTTCGCCTGACCACAGATGAATCTGTGAAATTCACCCTATGAATATCCAGAGCTGTTGTGGACTCACTGGTGTAGGCATCGTATTTAGCTGTAGAGCAGAAAGTGCGCTTCTCGACGAGATACCAGTCGATAGCCATCTGTGTGCTGTTCGAGTGAATGGATCAGTAAGAATTAGGAAGGATCGTACGACTAACCGATGCCTATTCGTGATTTCTGTTTCCGCGCTCACTGACTGCAGTTCGGATGACGAAAAGGATGAATTCTATGAGAAGGTGTCAATTTTTCAACGAGAAGCAGAACGCTCAGATATAGTCATAGTGGCTCACGACTTGAATGCTCAAGTACGAAAGCTGAGCGAATAAGAAAGATACTCTGGAGCTATCTACAGAATCCCATGCCAAAAAACCGACAATGGTGATCGTCTGCTTTAAGTTCTATGTGTCAAATCACTTGTTTCCGGTCAGCACTAATTTTAAGTATAAGGAGAGACGCCGTCTCACATGGCGTCCACTGACATCAAATCAACTATGGACACAGGTCATATTGCTGTAAGCCATCGTTGGGGAGGATAGGGAGAGGAACGCCGCCCTTTCTGGAGTACTAGTTTGGACTCTGATCACGCTTTAGTACAGGCAAGTGTTTAGTCTGCGCTTGAGTGGTGGCAGAAAACAGGTGCCAGCTAAGGACGTGTTCTCGACTGGAAGATGAGGGCGTCAAGTGAGTATTTAGGGAGGAGACAGCTAAGCATTTATCAGAACGTGACAGCAATTTATATCCTAATGAAGTCTGTCATGATATTCAGTCCGCAGTATAAACGGTGGTGAAGACAATTGTTATTGTACACTTTGAAACGCAACTCAACTGCAAAAAATTAAAATGTACTTAGTAACAGTGCGCAAAATTCGTGCAGCAAACAATGGAGACAAACCTATTTTGTGAGCGTTAATCGTACTGTAGTGGGCTCTGCTGATTAGAATGGATGTAAGTGGTATGTGTTGAGAGGGCAGCAGAAATCATAGGAAATTATCAGCAACGGGTAAAGATTATGCCCAGAGAAACGCAAAAGACAATGTACGCGTATCAAGAGCAAATCGAAATAGAAACAGAAGAGGAAATGAAGCACATTGTGCAAATGACTGTCTTAGTGGAAAGTGTACAATATTTGATGACTATCGTACAAGATGTCAATAATAAACATTCCTTCCTTCGTCTCCGTCTTGTCGTTTCCTGCAGTACTAACTGGTTGTCCGATCATCAACTAGTGGGCGCCATGGGGAACCATGAGCTACTAGTCCAAAGCAACAGGACCTGACGGTTTTTCACTAGGAATAAAAGGATGGACATGGAACTTTACGGAGTAGAGTAACGGAGGCACTAGATAGTGCATGGGAATCACAGATAGTCCCATTGCACTGGTCTAAATCACTGATTATCCCAGTCTACATAAAAGAAGAGAAATTTTCTTGTGACAACCATAGGGGAATCAGTTTGAATACCATCGCAGCTAAGATCCAGTTGTCGATTACTATCCGACGCGTAACTGGAGGTCGAGAACAACAAACTCGAGGAAACCAGGCAGGTTTCACACATGGACGAGAGTACAACGATCAGATTTTCACCCTCCAACAGGATCTGGAACAGCCATATTTACCGACCAGTGACCGACACTTGCCATATTTTTTGACATGAAGGCGGCATTTGACTCTGTTGACCGTGAGGTGTTGTGGTAGTGTCTGGCTATAAAGGGCGTACGGAGCAAGCACGTTTCGTCAATCGAAGCTCTCTACTCAAACCTGCGCAGCCATGTATAAGCTTACGGAGACCTGTCGTCAGAATTGACGTCAACTAGTGGTGTCTACCAGGGATGCCTAATTCCACTGTTCCTGTTCAACTTCCTGATAAATGTATCAACGGAAATAACATTAGGTACCCCTGAATTCATAGAGGTTGGCGCACTCACACGAGGGAATTGGGATTTACCCAGATTCCATTGTCTTGTTAAAGGAGAACATCAACCAAATATGAGGTCTTTTGAACGCGTTGAGCAGAAATCTGAGTACGTTCGGCATGCATTTCAAACTGAAAAAAGAGTTTATGCAATGACCATGAGAAGTGATGAGGAACCAGGGCTTAACAGCTGGAAAAAGTAGCGACGATAGAGAATTGTAGACAGTTACTCAGAACGATCAAGGAAACAAAGTTAAGAAATCAAGTGAAAACATAGCGGAGAAGAATGGGTCTGGGACTCATTCACATGAGAACTGACTAGTTAAAATGGCCTCCAACAACCATTCCTTTGCCCACTATCCAGTCGGATTCTGAACAGAATACTGGAATAAGGGCTTTGACTCTGAGCAGAATTTCAACAGCTGTAGGAGATATGGAACGAGTAAAGACGAATGGGATAGAACTGAGGGATTTGAGGATAATGAACGTGGATCATTGGCATTAACTGAAGTGTTATCTGGGGTTTGGGAATCAGAATAGACTCACTATCACTAGTCTAAATCACTGATTGCCTTAGATTTTATCAAGTCAGATGAATCATTCAGCGACAGTCAATCAGTAAGTTAATATGAAAACTGTGCCTGATATTACTGTGTAACGATCCAAGCTGCTACACCTGATTCCAGCACATTATAATATTACGTAAACAGATAACAGACGTCGAAACAAGGTAAAAAGTATCCAAAAGTAGTGAAGAGTTATAAAACTAAAGAAAGAACGGATAGGAATATAAGGAAATTGTGTATGACGATTAAGCTGAAGTTGGTGAGTTGATGTAAGGAGGCTACTGAGGTCCATTCTGGGTCATATCGCCTACAATCTCCAACAGGCGACTGTGTTTGTCACGCAGATCCCAACTGAGAAGTCTACACTTCCCTAAACGGTTCATACCAGTAATCAAATACCTCATGGACTGTTTTATTTATGCCACCTTCAACTGTTTCGCAGCCTAAACCTACTCAGCTAACATCGTCGTGCAAGAGAACAGATGGTGACCAGGTGTGTGTAACACAAGTCCCAGTCGATGAAAGCTTACAATATCACCAACTGACTTTCCTCTCCCACTCAAAACTCTACACTTGACTTCTACGTTGCTGCCGTGGTAGCACCACGGTACATGGCTAGTGCTATGAAGATAACAGTAGTTGAACGCCTGAAGCCTTCTCATTGCCTCTACCTTCAATGGCCATGTTTCACAACCATACAGCAGAACAGAGCGACCTCCACTACGGTACACTAGGTGCCTAAACGACAGTCAGATATTGCGGTGACAATGTGTATTGCGCAGGGTGGTGAAAGTCACTTGTTAGTTTCACATGAATGAACGCACCTGAGAGTTGTGTGAGGTCAGAAAACTTTCTGGTTTTCTTATAACAGTAATTATTAGTTCTATACTTGATATTGAATAATATGTAAATTCGTACGCTTGCATTTGATGTGGCATAGCCGTAAACACCATACAAGTTAAAGATGGCAGAGGGTGGAAATGACAAACTGAATCTAGTTGAATGCCAGCGCACAGCTGCAACCAGAGAAATGACAGCAGATAGAAAGACTGGCCAATCAGAACAAAGTAAAAAGATGGGCATAAAAAATCAGTTACTTATAAGTAATATAGTGAATAATACTCAAAAATGTCACAAAAGGCGAGTTTTTGTTTTCATACAGATTTAATCAGTCACAGATTAAACAGAGGCTGATCCTCCTTCACAAATAAGTAAGATGGTCAACACCCCCACTCCCTGTTATCAGATGAGGCACCAACATAAACTATCTTGGAGCAGCAACCTTTATTATGGCAATGAGGATCGCGTCGTAAACATTCTCCAATATCCACTCAAGATGTCCAGTAGACATTGTTGGAGTCTGCACCTAACAAGACTATGTCATACTCGTACTGTATGCCTACTGAGGAATCTCCTGTCACAAAATCAATCTACATAATGTTTTGGCGAAACGGAGACCTCCACATGATAAAATTAAATGAAAATGGAAAGATTGTAAATCATCAATGGACACAAGTCGTCACATGTAAATTCATTATTATGAAAACCAGAGTAGTACAAGAGCTGTATGTTTTGCCCATTATTAAGGATTGAATTTACTGCATTACCCACAATTTGACGATGTCGTAAATGCACAGTGCTAAGGTGTCTCATAACAAGATGAAACAGCTGTCCAGTGCTCCGAGGTTGATTGAACAGTAATTTATGCCTACTCACTCTATAAATGAAACTTTCATGCTTCATAGAAAAATGATATCAACTCAGTTTACAAAGAAATAGCATTTTGTTTCTATTACGCCAATTTTTTACCTTTATTCCCATCTTCAGGTGATGGTTTTTCCCCGGAATTATCATGACTAAGTCCATCTTCCTCATCATCTTCCCCACCTTCCTCATCACTAGATTCGGAAATGTTCACACAGATATTTTCAGGTGGCTCCAAATCCCACTCAAAATACAAGCCAAAGCCCAAATCATAGTGATCTGTAGCGAATTCCCAACATATAGCTTTTCCATTAGGATGAGTTGGTACACGTACCTACAAAAAAATCAGTGGGTATCCGGTTAGATTTGGACAACGGTAACAACAATTTTATGAAAAGGATTATTAGTCAATGAAACTATATTATGGGAAAACAATATCAAAACCTAATAATATACAGCTCGTATTCACTCTCACTGTCAAAGATTTTTTATCACAGCATAGCCAGCTGATAATAATTTGATAAATCAAAGACTCTAGTAGGAAAATGTAATGTTCCATCCAAGCAATGAGCGACACATATTGTGTGACGGCTAATATTACTACTCAACTGCTCAAACTGCGATACGTTGAGTAGGGTTGCAACTTGTGATATACTAGTTGAAAGTTAACTGTTTAGACCAACAAGCCACGGCTGCAGATTTAGGTAAAGCCATGTCAATTGTGACTGTAAGTAAAACTGGTTTTCTGTTGTATAGTTGGTAGTGTAAAGGTAAGTAGTTTTTCGTATATTTATAAAATAGAGCAAGAAACATATCATAATTAGTGAATGATAATTCTGTATTTAGTTAAAAAATCACTTTTAATTATTATTATTACTATATAGAACAAGCAGTTCACCGAAGGAAGTCCTTTTCAAAGAATTTATTTCCAGAAGCTGTACAGTCGTAAATATACTAATGATACAATTTAACGTGGTACAGGTGCTAATGTGCTAAGCTATAAGTCACGCTTAATACGTGAGCGCTTATAATCCTACTTGTTTACAAAAATAAGTTTTGAACCCAAGACTTTTGGTATACGAAACTTTCACATCTTAGTACATCATCTCAATAGTTCTTGGGTACCTAGCTCTAAGCATAAGCTTAATTACAATGACGTCAGATAGATATAATAATGTTGGATACGACACAAAATCAGTAATCCGTTCATGTTCTTACAAACAGAAGATCAACAGCGTTCTTAGTTTTCAGAAACAGAAGTAATTAAGATGTATCTGCTAATATCATCAGTTTTTGTAGAGCACGAGTTTATAGATAACAGGGTGAAAATTTGACCTGATAGAATTCAATGTTTTGAAGATAGGGTAGATGGTTAAGAAGTATAATTTCATCAATTTATAAGCGACAAAAACGTTAAGAAAAGTGAAAAACAATTGCTATCACTCTATTACAGTTTACAGCTCAAATGTTTAGTTATTTTATATAAACATATATACCAGTTTCGAAAACTTGGTTACAGGATGGATACAACGATTAGCTAGGAAGTAGAATTAGCATAACTGTTATTCCAGTCTGCTATGAACACTATGCACAAGGTTCATCTGGAGAAGCGACAGATCTAATTTGAATGTCTTGATTTTCAACAACTGATTCATAGTCATTATTCACATACACAATGCTAAAAAGCAAAATCAGATACCAATTGGTTGAAAACCATTAACTCATATGGTAACAATCTTTTAAGAAAGATCTCTGTTTGAAACTAACTTTACTTATGATTATACTTTCACTCATATATATATATATATATATATATGTATATATATATATATATATATATATATATATATATATATATATATGAAATTAAAATTATATACCTATAATTTTCTCATATGCAGTAAACGTTGGTTGCAGAAAAGCACAGTGTTATCAAGAAAACCATTCTCGTAAGATATACAACAAAGCTTACTGTTGCTGTGGCTAAAGAGCTTATCTTTATACAACACTCCTTTTGGGCATCGAGAATTTCTCGCTTGAACTCCACAATATCCTTACGGGTCCAGATTGTTGCAGGGATTAGAGGTAGTGGGAGTGGAGAATCTTGATGTATATACATACACAAAAAGAAATAGAAAAATTACAAATTCGGTGGACTAACTAACTTATTAGCTTCATGTTTACAGTCTCGACATTCATACAACTATTCATGTAACATACAATATTCTGATAATTTTCAGTAAAATTATCCATAATTGACAATAGGAATACCTTTTGAGAGTATATCTGATACATTTATATGATTTTTAGAGATATCCAAGAAATTCACTTATCATATGATTTATACCATCCATTTGGTGAACATTTAGGAAACATGCATCGTATTTGATGGAGTAAGACTGCCTCAGCTACGCAAATGGTTGTACTAATCTAACAGCCCTACCTTTGTAAAGCATATCCCTTGTTTGGTCTTTAAGATTTATACGGTGAATAGACCCCTCATTCATATTTCTAGTAAACTATTGCGTTTTACTGGTACAGGGTATATCAATTGCTGACAGTAAATTTGAGTCGAAACGAGGTGCAATATTTCACTGAAGTTATTGTGGATATGTAGAGTCTAAAGGTGTTACGTACAACTTGAAACCAACTGAAAGAGCACTGAAAACTCTTGGTTGTATTGAGTTCTCTGAGTTAGTTGGTTTAGTTGCGAAGCTTTCATCGTCTTTGTAGACAAAATCATTACCACTGAAAACTATTTTGTTCCACATAGTGACTATTTTTAATATGAGGTATATCATGAATTAACTGAAATTAGAAGACTTGGGTTGTAACTTCATTACTAAAGCGTAACACTTTTTTCTCATCAAATGTGGAGGGATTTTCGCTTACTCCCGGAACTGATTGATGTAGGCAGCGCCAAAAAGTCAAAATTGAACGATATAGCCATTTAGAATACTGTGGCTTTAAGTGGTTCTCAAAATTACAATTTAGTCATGTTGTAGAAAGAATAATCAGCGGATGTGTTTGGTAAGAGATAGATTTCCAAAACATAATACAGTCTTTACTAATAACAATGGGACATATTATGTATTTGCATCCATATAAAAAAAATAAGATTTCGTACATTTAAATAGGTAAAAAAACAATAGAAATATTGATGATATAACAGAATGAAGATTTCATCAGCTCATCGAATGATTAATCTTCCTTGTAAAAAACTACACCAAACGCTAATAGGCATCTTTTATTGGTTAATTAAATCCAAGTAGCGCATTAGAAACATAGATAACCAAAGACTTAGATTATTTTCGGAGTTTAGGTGTGTTTCATGACTTTGGAGTGAAAAAGAGTAGGCGCTTTTGCATATATGAGTAAAAGAACAAACATTTTTCAGTATTTTGCTGAGATTACTTGTGTAGTCGATTAGCAAAGATAAATCAGACTTTCGTTATTCATAGTTATATTCCAGAGAATATCGCCTGACTACAGCTAATGCAATTTGCCAATGAAGTTAGGCAGTCAATAAATATCATTAACAATAAAACATACCAACTGTTAATCGTCCGATCCCGAGTTGCAGGATAAAAAGTTATTACATAAACACAGGGTAAGAGATCGATCAATTAAAAAATTCAAAAGGCAAACAGTAAACAGAATATCTTGAAACTGATACACTTTGAAAGAGAGGAAAATTTAGAAGTAAAAATGAATTAAAATGGAATAAAATAACCATTCTACCAGCAAGCTAAATGTTTGTTTACACTTTTGTTTTTCGTTAACTCCCTTAGCAATAAATTTTCAACCTAACACGACAGGAAAGCGTACTGAGTAAAAATGACTCTTTCTTGTTCACTATAATAAATGAATTCGGTTCGTACAAGTAATTTCTAGTACTTTCATGTGAATTAAAACTACGATACGAGTGGTGAGAGGACTAACAAAATTTTATTCAGAAGTTGAGGAGGTACCCTGGATAAGATAAGTAGTAGTTTACTACTCGAAGCAATTTAACCTGAATGAATTGAAGTGTTTCACTTTTGTAGGCGTTATTAGTCAACATTTAATGCCTACTACATTTTGATCATAAATAACTTTATATTCTTGAATTTTTCAATAGTGAACAAAAAGCAAATTATTAAACCTTGAAGAAACAGATGGATTCGATAAAATCCAACACAGTGATTATATGATATTTCTAAATATCGAATCGCATACTGGGATCCTTTTCAATTTTGACTTAGTAATGATTACTAGAGGTAGGATTCATAGATGAAATAAATAGTGTTAAACTTTAATCAAACTCACAGTTTTTCGGAATATAGGTTGTTCTGAGATTAAGGTAATTCGAGGCAGTTTGTGTTCGCATTAATCGAATTTTAGTTCAAAAGTTACTTTTAAAAGCACTACACGATTACAGTGCTGAACGTGGATAGCCATTTTCTTTAGATAATTAAGACTATTTACCTTTTAAACCATCAATAAGAATTCGATATACAGGTATCATGTGAAGTTAATGTTGTTAATAAAATAATTTTGCTATCCGATGGGGTTGATCGAAAGAAAAATTATGAACACAAGGAATCGGTAGCAACTTTATTCAAATTTTAAAAAAATGCATATCGCAAGAATTTCCAACATTATTATCATCATAATCGAAATCAACATATGACCAGGAATTACTGCGTAACTCTCCGAGTTGTCATACTTCATATCAGTACATCAAGTAGAAGGGCAGTGAAGTGGAAGATGTAGAAAAAAAAATTCAGTCAAAAGAAATATAAAGTACTAAAGGAGAGGAAGGAAAAATGAGAAAATGATGAGATTCGGTAGAGCGTCGTTAAGATGAGGATAATGTGTAGATACATCGATTCTCAGCCATATCGTTTCGGCCAACATTGTGTGACGAGATAGACGGTGACTAGGCATGCGTAACACGTGTCCCAACCAACTCAGTCAATGAAGGTTCACAACCGTGTCAACTGACCTCTTCTTCCTAGAAATCTATGCCTGACTTTTGCGTTACTCACGTGGTGACACCACGGAATACGGCCTACACTACGAAGGGAACGGTGGTCAAACATCTGAAGCCATCTCATATCTTCTACTTCCAATGGTCACTTTTCACAGCCATACAGTAGAACAGACCAAACTGCTGTGCAGTACACGCGACCCTTAATAGGTAATCGGATATCACGGCAGCGCCACAGGTGGTGTAAATTGCCAAAAGTTAACACAAACCAACATCAACTAGAAAGCCATCCAGAAGGGAGCATTGGACAACTAGCTATGTGCTAGTTGGAGACTCATCAGAAGTGCATACCAGTAATCCCTGGTTTCAAAGCGAAGATGGTGACTATCAGCAGCTGAGTTGATACGAGGTAATCCACTTTTTTCAACTTCTGTCAATTCGTTATTTAGTGTGACCATCCGGCAAGTGTTTATCTTTACATTTGACTTGGTTGACCCCACAGATTATGACTGCCTATCAAAACGTTGAGAAACACACTCAAATTCACCTACTTTGGCTTCGACAACCATGTAGTATCATAGACCAAATAAAGTGTCGATGGCACATAAACATGTACCGGGTTGAGTATTATTATTATTGTTCGTATCGTAAAGTAAATCGATGGCGGGAAATTGTTCATTAGAGAACTGCAAATGTCGAATTACTTATTTTCTGAAAATAGTTGCTAAAGAAATAATAAACCATAACAAATACTCTATTTACGTTTATTTCATTATATACAAAGCAAATCGATTTACCATTCAAGAAGTTAGAACTTGTGAGTAGAAAGCATTAACTATCCCGGAAAAGAATCTTGCGAATTCGCAATACAACACATTCGCAGGTAGTATAGCTACGGATTATTTATCTATAATAACGAAAGCAATAGTTAATCTACCTCTCATCGCCTTCGGAAAATAGCGTTGTTTTTTAAGCACACTTAGAAAAAAGGCTATTATGCATCCATTAAACCTCAAAAAATAAACCGATGATGTTGAAAGGGTTTGATAGTTTGTCTCAAAACCACTAAGATATCAAAAGTAGGTCTGTTCCTTTTACGGTAATCACACGATATTTCTCTCACTGCCCAAAAAAATTCCTAAGACAGCAGTTCAGCGAAAATACTGACCTACTGAAAAAGCTTAAGTATACATAAATGTTAGACAAAATTGTCACGCAAATCATCGTTTTGTCTAAGACAATGATTAGACCGATAACAAAATAAACCTCTGGCTGGGAAAAATTGGCAAAACGAGGTTGAAAATAAATTTAGTACATGTGATGAAGAAAAAACAATGTTTTATACAAAGATTGTTCTGAAGATAGTTAGGAGATGATCATATAACAGTAAAAATAGACATACATATAGTATGGAGAAAAAACTAACCTGTCTCAGATTCGTAATTCGTGCCATCAGATTTTTTTTCCATGGATCTTACTGCATGTAACTAAAAGTCATACATAATATGTTAGGATATGTATCTGATCAATATATAGTTAGTGAGAAGGAATAATAATATGAAAGAGCCCTATAGAGTAAAATTAATCAATGCATAAATCCCCACAAACCTCCAAATTGTATCGATGTTTGTTTCATAATAAGAGGCTTTTTGTATTTCAGCGTTGGTATCTGCGATTGCTATGTTGCTCAATTTACATTTAGTACCCTTTTTCATCAATAGAACTGGCCTGAATTCATTTTCTTATGAGGCCCCATTATTCTCTAAAGCCCTATCAATTTTCTTTCATTTACATACGAACTGTTTTTTCAGTCTGTCAGTCAACATGAGACTTCAATGCATAATGTTCAGTGTTGCCAGACCTTACATTCATACATCCGAAATACAAGGACAAAAAATGAAAAACGATGGAAAAAAGCAGTTGAAAGTCTTAGAAAGTCATAAAAAGAGAAAAATTAGGGGTAAACCAATCAAGTATGATAAGATGATCAGCATGAGGATAACATATAGATGCACCACTGCGATCTGTTCTAAATCATATCTCCTTGAGTATCTAGTTTGGTTGTTATGCTGACCCCAACAGAGAAGCCTACTTTTCATCACATGGCACAGACAGCCTGAGACTCCATGACCAGATGTCAAGTTTTAATCTGATTACATTTATCATTTTTTGTAGCCTAAACTTACTTCGGCTAACAATATGCACTGGAGCAGTTGATACTTAGACATGGCTAACTTATCTCCTAGCCACGTGAGTCGATATAGGTTCACAGACTTATCAATTGAGTTACCTATTTTCTGAGTCATATTCACACATATCTTCTTTCTCTTAAATTCCTTTCTGGTACTACAGGTGAATCTTACCGAAGTGAGACAACACTTAGCGGTTTTCATTCATTCCTCCACCGAATTTCCTTTATTACACTTATATCTCTGTAGGATAATCTTGCTCACAATTTTTTAATAATTCCAACCTATTTTTTCACCAGAAATTGTTTCAATCCATTGCCCTTGAAGTTCTAATGTAAAGTTATGATACTAGAAAGTACTTCAGGTTATTGGTAAACAGGTTAGTACTCCTAGGCATAACAAACAGTCTTTGCCACAGCTACTGAACAAAGTACAAAACATTTGAAAAAAGTGTATGTGAGCAAGCCACATAAGATGTTACTTATATCTTCCAGCCAAATTAGTTCCGCCTGGTTTTAGTACCTTAACTGTGATATGGTTCCGTTATATTCAGTCATTCTTAAGTTCTACGTATTTATTTTTGTTGAAGCAAGAAACCAAATACACTACAAATATTTAATATACTTTTTAAACACAAATAGAAATTATTGAATTTATGTCACGAAAAAGTGCTTAGTGGTAGAATAATTTAAAAATTGCGACAAAAGATTGATACATCAATAAACGTAGTTTCAAACTTTTTAATCTCTTTTTTCGGCAATTTAAAACTCCAGAAAAATTTTTTGGCATTGAGTTTCTGCTGCTGTGGCAAAAAATGATATATGGAAACTTTTCCCTGTGAGACTTTTCAAGACCGTGAATAGAAGTAAACTGGCTTAAAATTACCAGTGACTCGTTCATATTAAATTAGGTTTCAGAGTGATAAACTCAAGCGTGAAAAACCTAATTTAATGTAGATGAGTCACTGGTAATTTTAAGGCGTAGAAAAACAAGTTAACTGCAGCATTACTTTCTCGCACAAATATGAAAGTAGAATTTAGGCACTGTGTTGGGGTATAATTCCATCATAAATCTTTCTTATATTTGAATCAGGCGGTAAATAATGTTTCACTTGCTTACAAAAATCCAAAAACACTGACTCTATCCTTGTTGGATCCCATTGGTGCGTATGATAACATATAGTTGTATTGTTTATAGAGTAAATATATGATTTAGAACTGAAGGGACTAGTAGAGAATATTAATACTGGAGTATAAATGTGGGTCATCAGCTTGGGAACTCGATTTTCATGCAGTGTCCTAGGTTAGTAGTAATAATAATAGTAATATTTCGCGATGAAGAGTTTGGCTGGATGAGTTATGTCAAATTTTGAATTGTACACCCGATGTAAATAACTTGCGTATGGGTGTAAAGTTAGTAAGACCAATAGATAAACAATGCACTATGTAATATGTATTAGATATTTCACAATGAATGAATACTGTTTTAAAGATGGAATAATACTGAGTACTTTTTAAGAGTAAAAATGAGAGGAATGAAAAAATCAGACTACGAAAGATGGGGAGTCAAAAAATGCTATCTTATGGATGGCTCACATCTTTCTATACAAAAGTTGGAGTTCCTTTCGCGAGTAATCATGTCTTGTTTTTAAAACTCGTAATGCAATATCGTAAAAGATTTAAGCGAATTTGAAAAACAATCTCAAAACCACTATTCGAATGGATTTGTAAGATGATTGAATTTATTCAGGTGTAAGGATAGAACTTCCAATTACTATCTTTTCACCCTTGTAAAGTCATGTTAGAAAATGTCATCATATGTGTTGAAAATAATCGCTGATTAGGACTAACACATTCTACTGCACCAGAGCATGTGAAATAGTTGCAACACAATGAAGCAGCTAAATGAAGATTAAGGTTAGTTGGATTTAAATGGCCAGGAACCTTCTGCTAATATAACTAGAGTGACAATTCCTATGTGTTTGGTCATCTTTTAGCTATAAATTGATAAGTAGAAATGTTTTAAAAACCGAACTAATGATGAAACTATCGTTTTCAACAGATGTTTAACAAATATTTGGTAACCTCGGGTGTGATTTAACAGCTTGATGTTAATTTCAGGTTAGTATTAATCATAGACTGATACAAGCTGGAGAAACTTTGGAAACCTGGGGGAACTGAACATCTGTTTTGTCCTAGTATGGGACTCCTCACCAGCGCGCACCCATAACCCCAAAACGGATCGAACCCAAGACCTCCACCTTCTGTGGCCAGCACGTTACCATTGAGCCAATGGGTCGGAATCCAATGGTCCATATTTCCTACTTCTGTCAGTTAACGATACAGCGTCAACTCCGTCCTATGCCGTCATTGAGTAAATATCCTTATGTACGACTTGGTTGGCCCCACCGGTCATGACTTCTCATTAGAACTTGGGGACAGTCCTGGTTTAATGAAGTTATAAAAATAGGAATTACTTTGGCAAGGGAAATTGCCAGCTTCCTGATTCATATTTTCTGGATGGAATAGGAATAAAAACTGGTTGGTCCTGGCAAATAACATTTTTAAGCAGTCATTTCAAAGTTATATATTTTAAACGCTAATACAGTGGCTGTAGAAAATGCTGAAAGTACTATATCAAAAATGCTTTTAGGAAGGTTTATAATCATAAGCTACAGGTTGTGACAAATTCACATCTAAACAAAACGACAACGAAATATTTACTGATATTATGAGTAATAATTCGATGTTCAGCATTCCCCTTAATTACCCGGTCATTTTACAACAAATTTGTTTGACAGTGCAACAGTATCTCTCCAACAATATCAAACCACTGGTCCTACGGAGTAATAATAGTAAGATTGTACTTCAGGCACGTTAGTTTACCACGCTATATGCTATACCTATTATGGAATATTATGAGACCTGGATGTTGAAATCAGGAATCATCATCAATACAGAATCAGGGATTAACGCATAATGGTCTGAGTCGCCACACCTATCATCAGCACATCACGTAACAAAGCGATAAGAATATAGGAAGAAATAGAGAAGAATTGGTCAAAACCAGAAGGAAGCAGTAAATTAGAGGAAGGAAGAATAAGAAAACACTGAATTCAATACGATTCAGATGCAGATACATCTGCACCACTGACATCGATTTTGAGCAGCATCACCTAGTTTCCAACTACTGGTTTCTGTTGTCACCCAAACCCCAACCAGGAAGTTTACATTCCCTCACACGGCTCAGATCAACAGTCAAAGACTTCATGCAATAATACTTCTTTCTAACCTAAACCTAACTCAACTAAAATTGTGTGACGAAGACGCTAACTAGGCATGCGTAACACATTTCCTAGTCACCTCAGTCGACGAAGGCCCGCAACACTATCTACCAACTTTCATTCTCTCTCTAAAACTCTACGCTTGACTTCTGTATTGCTGACGAGGTGACAACGCGAAATAGCCTATTCTGCGAAGGCCACGGTGGTCGGGCACCTGAAGCCTTCTCATTGGTTCTACCTTTACGCGGTCATTTTCGAATCATATAGTAGAACGTAGCGAACTGCTGTGAAATACACTCGACCTTTGATAGACACTCAGATATCACAGTGAAGCCATGAGTGGTGTAAGTTGGTGAAATCATATTGAGCCTCATGTATCCATGCAGTGATTTCGTCAGCCACTGCCTCACCAGGGGTAGTCCGACTTCCTAGGTAGATGAAGTGGTAAATGAGCTGAACCATTCCACTGCCTACTGTTACACAGGGCACCGCTGAAGACAAGTCCTGGAGCAACAATTTGCATTTAGCTAGAGAGAAACGCATCCTAGACATTCTCAAGTTGCAACCCAAGGTGTCCAGAATACTGAATCCTGTCAACATCTCTACCTAACAGGTTTATGTCATTTGCATGTTCTAGATCTACCAAGGATTCTCCTGTGGCAAGATCAATCCATATTAAGTCAGACGACGACAGGAAGACATCCACTAGTAAGCCCGCGATAATGTTGAATAAGAATGGAGAGGGCAGACATCCCTGACGGACACTACTCAACGTACACAACCCACCACAGGCTCTAACACTACCATAGATGTTCGGGTTGCGTACTTACTCGATGGCCCTATGAGTGAAAAACACTGCCATATGACACCTCGATCGACCGAGTAGAATGTCGCCTTCAGGTCAACAAATACAGCTGGTGTTGGGTGTCGGTATGTGTCTGTGTTCTAGAACCTGGTTAAGGGTGAATATTTGGTCGATACACTCAAAACATGGTCTGAAACCTCCTTGATTTTTTGGGTTATTCCCGAGCTCCATTTACATGCCTGATAATTGTAGAACTAGGAACCTTAGAGTGTTAGTAAGGTTGATTTCTCTTTGCTTATCAGACAAGAAATTCTCATCTCTCTTGAAGACTGGGACAATGAATGGTTGAGACCGATCACAGGGGATCATATGTGACTCTCACACACTAGTCAACACCAGTTAGCTTGACTAAAAATCCTTGGCCATCACCCTTAAATACCTCTTGAACTAGTTCGTCTCGCCCTGCTGCTCTTCTTATTTTCAGGTTACCTACAGCTTTTTTGATTTCTGCAAGTGTTGGGGGTCAAATTTTGATATTCCATTCAGGCTCCGGTCGCATAGTGGGCAACGAAATAGTAGCTGGAGGCCAGTCAAACTGTTGCTCGAAGTGTTCCGCTCATCGTTCCAGTCATTTACCCTGAAAGTGAATCGCAAACCCATCTTTCTTCGCTATCACCTTTTCGCCCGTTTCCTTGACAAGTTTACATAACCGTCTACAGTTACTTATCTCTGCTGCCGTTGAGATCTCTTCAGCCTTCGCTACCCACCACTGTTTGCGTAAACTTTTTGTCAGTTTGCATTTGAGTTGCATTCGCTCCTCATTGTACTTAGAGCCAGTAGGATTGAGTTCATTTGCATCCATTAATTTGAAAAAAGCTGCTGTAATACACTGGCTTTTTTAACCACTCTCTGAGGGTCGGCTATGGTCTTCAACGTTGTTTTTACAGTAGACTGGGGCAAGGCTTATTCTGAGTGATACTAATCTGATCCGATAGATGTCGAACTAGTTTCCTACTGAAAGCAGTCTAAATACTCTCTTTGTCGAGGTGCACTTCAATGGTCTTGTTGCTATGGTCTATCTACGTCCATTCAGACACAGACTTACATGTGCTCGAACCAACGCGTGATCACTGTCCAAACACGTGCTCCAGAAGGAGCGGAAAATCTTCACTGACCATCTTTAGAGACAGCTGACAGCAATGTGGTGTATGTGTCCGCCATTGAGTTGGCATTGGTGGGCGCCACGATAGACAATCTTTCTGTTTGTCTGAAGTTCTTGCTGGACAGAAATAGATGGCTGTCGGGGCACAACTGTAGCGGGAGGTCGCCCTTATCTGCTCGATCATCTGAAATTCAAAAAATGCCACCTAAGTGCCTTTCTTCCAAATTGTACGTTGAAATCACCTGCTACAACAACGGCATCCAATGTCTGGCTTTCAGTAGGAAATAGTTTCCCGTAAAATTTACCCTTCACTTTATCTGAACTGCAGTTAATGGGTGCATGGGCAGAGATTAAGGGACGACGGTGAGTTTCATTAATCTTTTTAGTCTTTACTGTGTCGTTCAGCCGAACAGCGCATAGGAGACTATCAACTGGGATCCATTCGATTGGTGAACTTTCGTTCTAATTACTTAGGGGTATACCTACACCTGCAAGACCACGAGAACTAGCCAAAGAATCTCCCGAAACTCGAAGGATGAATTTTGCGGACTCATCACACTAAGCAGGTGAGGTTGAATTAATAACCATACTTGGGTTCTGTATATCTCCCAAAAATAACACACATCTGCGAACTCAGAAGCTAGAGTTTTGGCTAGTGGAGCTTCTTGGTTAACTTAACAGACGGTATGGACATTGAAGATTGCAATATATGATTTGAAGCCAGAAAACCTAAAAACAAAGTATACACTATATTTATGATTCGATCAACGAAATTAGAAGGCCTACACTAATCAATAACTCACCTGTTCAAGTTGCTGTTGTTGATGAACAAGTTGGAATCTATAAACTTCCGTTAAGTAATGATCAAAATATTGGTCTTGCATCTCAGCTATTAACTCTTTTTGCTAAAAAACGAGACAACGGACAGTCAGTAGAAAGATGAACACACTTTATCTGGATCTCTAGGAAACTGTTCCCGAGCATATTGTTCATATAAATCTTTAGTTTGTTGAACTAAGGCAGATCTTATTTCGATCCTGAAAAGTAAACTGAAAGCGTACAGGAGAGCATTACTCTTTCTGAGTTGAATCTTCTTGATCATTACAGAATTCGTCATTTAGGCAAGTGGAGGTTTCATTTGTCTCTGAATTTGAGGTGGGCGGATCACTTAGAGACAGTGTCTCGAATTTATCGATATTTGATACGTCTTTTTCACCTTCTCCCATTATTTACAAAATTTTCATAACCTGTTAAGAAAAGTAAAAGAATCACTTTCAAATACAAGAAATAACTGAACATCACTTTTACGCAGTTCAGCTTGTTAAAACTATGAACATATACTGTGACAAACTGATGTCCAGAATAGATTGTACTCTGATCCGTTCTCGTGTATACATTTAACTTCTTAACCTTATTTTTGAGGTAAAATTGAAAAACCGTCGGTGAATAGCTGAGATAGCGGAATTTCCGATACAGTCAAGGAATAAGTGTGATTAAAATACACTGAATGTAAAACACTAGTATGCAAAAAAAGGGAAAGTATCAGAGGAAAGTTGTTACGAGCAAATGGTCAAGAGCTCTGCAATAATCATTCAGAAACTCATTGGTTTTAGTAAGAAAAGCCGTCCTACAATCATGAACGAATCAAACAAAGAAATGTATAACATTTTTGAGAACTTCAGCCTACATAAATAGACATTTTACATGTGTAGTTTACATCCATCTGTTATCTATGTGCCAAAAGCCATGAGTGCAATATCACTTGAAACTTCAGTTCCAACTGCTCCAAGGAGACTAAAAACATAGATGATGAGAATGAGAATGGTGAAAGACAGTAACAATGACAATTAAGACGGAAGAATACGAAATTTTCCAGCTCGCTTACGACGGAAAGTTTGGAATTTTTCTTTTTCTTTTTTCTACTGTCCACAAACACTAAATAATTGTGTAATAAATTGTGCGAGGATTTTCATCTCTAACTAGCGAATATCGTGTAATACATAGTACTTGAGATCTTTGGATGATACATAAAGTTCTTAAAATCTCATGCAACACATAGGTAAACTCAACGTGATAGAAATGCCTGACAAAGTATTCACGCATTAGGTGACAGACAGACCAAATCAGCCTAGAAACTGGCACACAAGTGCATCGGCTACAGTTGTAACACTTCACAGAAGCATGCAAAGAACAAGTGGATAGAAAAACAGTGATATCAAAGTAAACAAAGTTGTATGAGAAAAAAGCAATCTGAATACAAAGGTAAGTGCAAATATTCAAGCATTAGAAGATGTAAGAGTAAAAACATTTGCGCCGTCGTGACTGATTTCTAGACATGTCACTAAGAGTTCTCAATAACTGATTCCCACCATCATGGAGGCTCCAGATAAGGAATCTAAATCTCCTCATATGGGTCACACCAGAAGTCAGAGACTACATGGACTGTCGCGACGTCATGTTCTGGTCAACCTGAATGCTTTTCTAATTAAATCCAACTTCCTGTAGCATTTTACTTCGAGGTTGACGGTGCCTCAGGATGCGCAACATATGTTCAAGCCATATCAATCGATGAAGCTTCACAACCCCATCAATCAACTTGACTGCCTAACCTCATACCCTTCGTTGGACCTCAATATCGCTCAGCAACTATTTTGGCTTACTAAGGATACCAGAAGCAAGAAAACAGTTGTTGGTGAAACCATCTCTGAATATGATGAGACGCTGACAACCTTTCAGGAGAGGCGGTCAGAACTTTTGGTGGGGCATTTTGAAGTCCAGCTGAAGTGACTGACAGAAAAGTTACCCAACATTCAGCCTGAAAGTGAGTGGATCGTGGATATCGGTCATCCAACTCTCCCTGATAGTTAAGGGTGTTTCGATCCTTAAACGATGCAAAGCAGGAGGACCTGGCAGTTTGCCAGCCGAAGTTTTTAGGGATGGAGGTAGGAAATTACCGAGGAGAGTAACAGAGGTACTATGTAGTGTATGAGAAACAGAGATAGTGTCGTCCGACTGGTCTACTTCACTGATCATCCCAGTCTATAAGAAGGAGTAGAAATCTTGTGATAGCCATAGGGAATTTAGTTTGACTATTGGTGTCCAAATTCCTAGGCTCCATAGTTATGCAAGGTCAAACTGAACCTCGGAAAGAAAAAACTCAAGAAAACGAGGCAAGTTTCAGATAGAGCTGAACGAGGGTGCATCGATCACATTTTCACCCTCCGAGAGGTTCTGGAACACATGCATACCTACGAGAGGCCGACACTTGCTACATTCCCTTACTTTAAGGCGGTATTTAACTCACTCAACCTTGAGCTGTTGTGGCGGTGTCTGACTGAAATGAATATCGAGAAAGCATATAAGGCTAGTGTCAAAGGTCTCTACTCGAAATCATGCAGCAGTGTAAGGGATTACGGAGAGCTACCATCAGAATTGATGACAACTAGTGGTGTCCGCTAGGGATGTCCATTGTCACCGTTCCTGTTTAACGTTGTCATAGATACACCAGTGGACGTAACTCTATGAATGTCTGACCAAAGGTATTCACCTACTCCCTAGACGTCATCTGGATGACTTGGAGTATGTAGACGATATTGTCCTACTTGGTGAAGAGGCTGAAAAAAATCCAGGGTCTTGTGAACGCGCTGAATATGTTTGGCATGCTTTTTTCCCTGCAAATGTAAGGTGTTAGATACTCCGGAACTAGTTTGCAACTACTTTCAGTTGAACGATAGGGAGTGAAGTGGTGGATTATGTCGACCACTTTACTCACTTGGGGAGTTGCACCAACTTCAACAAGCTGGTCGCTGACATCTCACCTCGAATACAGAAGGCCCGTTTGGCGTTTGCCAACTTATGTAATCTGTGGCGCAGACTGGCGAGGTATACGACTATCTGTCAAAGGACGAGTAACTGATTTGCAGTCTATTTTCTCTTTTTGCGGCTGAGACATGACTGTTGAAAGTTGATAACGTGAAGCGGTTGTAGGGTTTAAATAATGTATTTATACCATTGCTCATGCTTTGTGGAATCATGTGAGCAGTGTTGAGATGACGAAGGGTAGTGGGCAAAACGGAAAAATCGACTGAAAGGGTTGTGAACTTCGATCACCTGAGATAGCTTGGACACTTACTGTGCGTCTCAAACCACCACCCACCTCGACGTGCAGTGCCTTAGGGGGAGTTGGATTAGGTTGAGGGAAGGTTCAGGGTGGCCTCACCAAGACGAGACGCCAATGCATGGTCTCTTACTGTTGGCCTGAGCAGTGTGGTGGGGGAGATGTAGACTGCTTGGTTGAGGTCCTTGAGACGAAAAGAAACAGTGGTTGAGGACTATTGGTGACAGGGCTGAAAACGGCGCAGATGTATTCATTCGTTAGCATCTTCTTAAGCTTGAATGTTTGGACTCACCATTATCTTCAAATTGCTTATTCTATCACACAACTTCGTGTATTTATTATCATTCTTTTTATTCACTTGTTCTTTGCACGCTGTTGTTAAATATGACAACTGGAACCAATGCTCTCCTGTGCAAGGTTCTATGTTGATCTTGTCTGTCTGTCCTTAGGTTTTTGCACGGCTACATGATTTCGAGTAGGGTGTCTTGATTCGAATGATCATCAATACCAATATAGAACTAAGAATCACTGCGTAACGATCAACGTTTTGACGCCTTGTATGAAAACACCAAGCAACAGAGCGACAAAATGAAAGATTTAAAAAAATTAAGAATTGGTTAAAACCAGTAAAAAGCAGTATATCAGAAGAAGAAGTGAGAAGACACTGAGTTTAGTATGATGACTGACAGAGATAATGTGTGAACACATCTGCACCACTGAAAGCGATTGAGCCATGTCATCTAGAACTTTAACTTCTGATTATGTTCTCACGAGGACCCTTACACGGCTCAGACTAACAGGCGAAGACTTCATGCAACGACGCCATGCTTTAGTTTGTCCACCTCTAACCCTTTTTAAGCATAACATAGTTTCTTAGTACTCCCTACAGAGTCAAACATCGCTCCGTACGGCTGCGTGTTTTAACCAGATATTTACCCTACAACACGCCATGGAACAGGCACACACCGGAATCGCAAGTGCTATTTATATTTCTTGACGTGAAAGCAATGTTCGGCAATATCGACCAAAACGTTTTATAGCAGTGCCTCTCAATAAAATGGGTGTCCATAAAATAAATGGCACCGTTGAAGAACTTAAGATATGAGATATCGGGATAGTGATAAGATGTAGTGGGTTGGAAACAGTCTATAGTCTGTGCAAAACTGCAGAAGGTGATCCCAATTACTGAGCTGATCACTGCCCATGCCTCTCTCCAAAAGAACCTTATTTTGATCTAGACTTAAAAACTGTGAATTTAAGGCCTTAGATAACAGTATGATTTCAATCAAACGTACTTGGTTGAAGTCACACAGTCATTGATGGAACTCAGCATTGGCTGCAGTCCATTAGAGCATAGATAGAGAAGATCAAGAGGTCGGTTCAATTTCTAGTTACTTCTTACTCCGATTGGACCGTATAGCCTAAAAGTGCACAGATAATCGTTGATGGGAATTCAATCGATCAGCCAAGCTTTTACTCTTGCACTTATTTTCAGACTATCAGCAAGGCCAATCGACAATACCAGTCCCTCGATATGTGCACGGTAAATATACGTTTTGAGCTAAGAGAGAATTTATTTAAAATATTACTTTATGATCTCGTATGAGGGTTTTTGAGATACGGTACATATCAATACTAGACAGAAAGACAAAATCAACATAGGACCCGACAATAGCCTAACGAGTAACAGCAGTCACAAAAGGCTAACAAACACCACAGTAACCGAAAGCGTGCTTCCTAATTAATACAACTGATACTGGGATATGACAACGTGGAATGAAAATTTGGGCAGCAGCGGACTCGAACCGGCGACTACTGGGTTCCCGGCTTTTCAACCAACACTCAATATCAATACTAATCTGCCAAACCACGGCCACCTTACTCAGATAATCAAAATGATAATTAAGGGGACCGAGTTTCTGCAAGGCTTTTCATTCATAAGACTAGTGCCATTCAAACATATAAGCCGAGTGAGTTTTCAAACCACCATTTGCGACTAAGGACATTAGTATTAAGTGATGGTTGTGAGGATGAAACTCGAATTTATTCTTTCGTCTTCCTTGAAAAGACTTCAATTAGCCAGATACTTTAACTCCTCATAGGTGAGATGCGAATAAAGCAAAGACTTAGTTAGTACTTCGAACTAGATAAATCGACATGAATAAAAATGGAAAACTGATTTCTAAAAGGGTTTAAAAGGTTCAATAAAATTTGAGTAGGCACACGATATTCACCACTTTATACAAAACGAATTTGCGGACTACTATTCATGTAACTAAGAAAATGTTGAAAGTTATGGTATGGACTAAAGTTTGCATGAGATCCAACACTAGGTGTATAAATATATGAAAGCTACGATCTTTTGGCCCCTTAATCAAACTTTAGTTTGATGACTCGATTTTTTTCACTCCATGGTAGTTTCGAAAGATGCGGAAATCTTTTTAATTTTATTGCGATGAGACCTAAGTGTGCGCACGGTAATTATATGCTTGACTCTACTGCTTTCATGACTTAGTTAGCGAATGGGCTACGAAGATTTTAGGATGATCGAACGAGAAGCAAGCCCCAACAACAAGATGCGAGAAATTAAAACCATCAGTTTACTATTAACGTTGGATCAGGTAACATCGCAACTAATTTTGCATGAGCACTCGAATATGTACCGCAGCCAATCGCCAATTGTTACTCTGACATGATTTAGTTAACGGCAAAAACAACCATATAACCTAGTAGCCACTGGCTAAGTTTTTGATAGTCAGGATCATACAACCCTTTCGTAAATCCCACCGGCTAAATTTTCTCAAACTAACTCGGAGTAAAGACCATAGCTTGTACCATGACGAGTCACCATTTACCAAGAGGTATCCAACATGGTATCAGTGGTTGCATATGTCACAATAACTATGTCAAAGGTTCTCGAGTCTTTACAATAACATTGGCAAAACGTTCCTCTAATGAATGTTGAAATACGAAATCAAAAAAATATGCTCAGTAAAATTTAGTGTAATGACCTACGAAATCCATATACGAATCAAGTACGTCGTGTACAAAGACTTACAATGTGACGTCCCGAAAAAATAACCGCACAGTTTATTTCACCCGCGCTCGCTAGTGCTTAATATCGTCAAAGCTAGTGTTACAGATTGTTGGTCTTTAAACCCCCACTTCTGGGCATTCAACCTGGGTTGTTTTTAGTTAACTCCAGTATTTCGGTATGTATTCGAGTCTCTTTCCTTCATCGTGTTTGGCTTTTGGGGATATGATGCTCTGTGAGTTGTTTATCTTAGTCAAACTTAAAATTCGTGTTGTAGAATTAGTGAAAGATTGTTCCTTGGGTTCTGCGTCTACATTAATAAAGTAGGTTCGGGTTTGGATTGACCATGGTCGTCTTTCCCGTTCCGAAAAACCTGAAGGCATAGAGATAATTGATTATTAATTAATCTGGTCTCTAGGTAGAATTATTACCCCTGACCGTCAGATGACATCGGTCGTGTCAGGCATACTGTGGCCTCAGTTTCGCTTTCCAGCCTCTGATGGAAATGTTTGACCAACTCATGCGGTTGTAGGTAACAGGTTATTGTTCAGAATCAAGTTCACCTCAATAGTACTGATAAAGCATGGCATAATCCGAAATGGAAGAAAGGAACTTAATTTCGGTTGGTGTGCTAGATGGGCATCAGAAGGTCACCGCAGAGTTCTGATGAAGTTACGAGAGGTGGTCTAGGAACTAATATCTATAATAGGTACTTCTTGCAGTCTCATCAAACTATCCAAGAGAGTGAAAAGCCGAACGCATCTATTACATTGTAATGAATCCCGCAATATCAATATAGACGCGGTCGAAACAGGCATCTAATGCTAGACAACGTCCAAAAAAGACTTTGCGCAAACCAGATGATAGTGCCTCTTACTCCTGGGTAAGGTACTCCGTGCATCGCACTGAAGGCGTCATGCCAATAGCACCAGTACAGTAACGAGTATGACTGACTAGCAGACATGTCACACAAAGTTGTGCCCGCACCAGAAGTTAACCACCACTTCTGTAGCCTAGGAGAAGCAAACAATATGTGGTGATACGACCTGGGGTCTTTTCGAGTGTGAGTCTTTTTGGCAGTGTACATGGCGCACATTCGAAGGGAACTAACAAGAAGCACAGTAGCCATGACCCTCATACGGCATATTTATCTTGATCCTGAAACAAGGTAGAAGACAAGCGGCTTGTGAAAATTGTGAGGTTGCCGCCTTCGACGGGACTGCAAAATTAACACACGGAATAGTGCATAACGGAGATTTCTCCAAAGCATGTACATCAGTTCGTTTTTCTTTACCTCATCCACATTGAGTAAAACACTAACGGCTGGCAGTAGTTTTCTATCGCTTTTTGCAAAACTACTCTCATTGGGAGTTTAATTTGTTGGCAACAAGGAGCATCGAGGTCAAAATGCATGGGCACAGTTTCAACTGAGACCTGTACAGTGGTTGGTCGCAACTAGCCTGAAATAGCCTATACTTTATTTCCTAGTGTCCAACGCCCTTGTCAGCAATAGCATGTTCCATGGAATTCAGCGATTCAGTATGTATTCGCTGTTTTTGGATGTTAACTACGGGATCATACTTTCGCGGTCTCTTGGATGCAAAGTGGTGGCGCTTCTGAGGAGATTCTTCCCCTAGATCTCCGTCAGCTATAACTTGGACAGAGGCCACGCCACAAAGCACGTCGTTCACCAAGCACTCGAACCTTCGTGCATCATCCAGAAGACCAAACATCACGCAAGGAGATTTCAGCTATTCTTCCACTGCCACAAACATCCGATCACAAACTTTGAGGGGTCCATTTCGGAAAACATGTTCAGTCTTGCACTTGCGGTACCAGTTGAGGCTCGGTGTCTTTTCTAAACCAGGCGTCGATAACTTCTACGTGGATGTCAATCACTGCTACCCTTTTTACTTTCTTTCTGAAGTAATAATGTCCATAAGCCACTCGTTCGTAGGAAAGTGATGAGCCTTATCATGTGCGTGGGTCCGTCTCTAACCCACATTAATCTTTCGGAAGCTAGGCGACGCGATTCGGATGTCACAGGTGATCCCATCGCTGCTATGTGGTGTACAGCTGAATTGTTCCCTCACTCGGTTGTACGGAACGATTCATCTAAATATGAAGGATAACTGGTGTCAATTTTCTTCCGGAAGTCGATCTTGAGTGTTGTAAGTGAAGAATTTAAAGCCAGTGAATATAAATTCCAGCTGACCAGAATTCAAAACAGGATATTGAAACCATGTTGCTGAACCATCTGCTCGGAGTAGTACAAAGTGAAGCGCACGTGATATTAATTCACTGCGATAAAGTTCGGAAGTTTGGTTGCACACGGATATGGACATTCATATTACAGACCTGTCAGGACGTATTATTGAGAAAAGTGGGCGATTTCTGTAGATAAGACGGGTCTACCAATTTCGAATTCAACACCTGCGATTTGCGTATGCACCGAGTCCGAACACTTACCGCCTGTGTTAATCGGAAATCCATGTCAGCGATTGAACTGCATTTGTCGGTCTGCTGCATCCCAACCCACTGTATCTTTCTTCGGCTGCAGTCGCCCTGTACACGCAGTTCAGCTTGTCTGCCGTTAACGCTACCCTTGAGTGTGATTTGTCTGCCCACTCCAGTGTTCCCAATCCATCCACGTGATTAGTCACGCAATTCTACACTCCTAGCCGTTTACAACAGGACATAGGGTCTGGTGCTTATGGTCTGCGTATTTCAGGTATCTTATTCATTCCTGTATACCACTAAGTTTCTGTGCCACGGCTCGCCACGATTTGTAAGAAGAAACTGGTGACTTCAACCGCAAAATATGTGATAATCCATAACAGTACGTTCCACCCAACATGCAATTATTTCCGACGCATTTCATGCAGGAAAGGATGAAGGGTCAATCAAAAGCTCTTGAACCGGGCAGTGAAATATTGTTACCAGCTCAGTCATAGGTAAAATAACCTTTAAAACAAACAAAATAGTACCACATATGACATTTATCCTACATCCACGTTTTCCATTCTTTGGCTGATGTGGAGCAGTAGAGTGATAAATATAAATAATTCCGCCCAGTCCTAATTGTTAGTCAAACATATTATAGGCGCTATTTTTAACCAAAACGCAGATCGAGGTGAGATCTGATCACCTGATGTGGGATTTTAAGAAATTAATTTAAATCTGACTCATTCACTCCCTTCCCACACGATCGGAACCCCCTTCAGGGCATAGCAAGAGAATACGAATACAAAGGCCGAAAGTCCCCTACGTAGACTCTTGGTTTCCGCGTCGAATAAAAAGTTTCCTGGGTAGCCTCCTAGAGGAAGTGTATTCATGCCAGCCGTTCTGGTACTCTACAGTCATTTTACCGAAGGTGGAGTACCACTGCCCTGTTGAAGGTTTTTGATAGGCTACGTCCGGAATTTCTGAGTTCACGTCACTGAGTTGCATCGCCTTGAAGTCGATACTGAAGGATTCGTGCCCTTGCAGCGAAAACTTGGAATTCTTGGTGCCTGGATGAACCCGTGGGTCAGCTAAAATGGGTACGAGTCCAAGGGTGACTAATGATACTAAGCCCTATGATATTACTGGTCAACCCGTGTGTGCTCTTGACAACATGAATATTAATAACCATCGGGAAGGCTTTAGTTTCCCTGGTTGTTTGACGTTTAAGATGCCCAAGTAAGTCATCGGAACTTGGTAGTAACCCCCTCTGATAACCCCATATTCAAGAAAGAGATGGGGGTGTTGTTGGGTGAAGGCAAGCCGACTAACGATATTAGTTTAACTATGTGGCAGTACGCTGCAGATATCACACCCCCCAAGAAAGTCATTTCGAGGTAAGACAGCTGTTACATCCCGAATTTGGTTAGCCCCTCGTGGTTTCTGGAGGTGCGCTGGATAAGGCTGAGGGTAATGGACTCAATTTCGAGGGTACCCTCAAAATAGTTGGGGATTGTGCAAGCCAGTGCAAAAACAGATTTGCTTGGGTTTGAGGCCCTATTCCAGAGGTCGGAGCAGTGGGAGGTCATGAGAGATTGCTTGCCATAAGAACTAATGGAGAAAATGCAGTGAAGGATGGACGTTTGTTATGAAATGTTGCGCATATCTTTGTGAACTGCTCAGACTTTCTGAAAATGCCTGTCGCCAATGATGAGGTTTTGTGGAGAGGGCACACTGAAACAAAACGCTGCCTCGGCAGGAGTATTAACGTCGTTACCGAAAGGAGACTGCATCCAGTGCTCACAGAGAAGAATGAGAGGACACTTTCTATGCGGGTGAGCCGTTTGTCACTGGAATCGAGTGCTCATGAGGTGTAACTTGGCGTGGAACCTGGTAAAGGCAAAGGGCTGAACTCGTTTGAAAAGACCCAAGCATTGTTAGACAAGGGGTCTGATGTTGGTTCAGCCAGACGTTTAGATTTGAGAGGACCATTAGACGGACCTTCGGTGGCGACCATCATTTCCTCAGAAACGTGGTAGTGCAACAGGGTATCATTCGACCCATGGTCCTTAACAGGTGCAGACACCATAATTAATGAAGCGGGGTACGTGACCGCGCGCCTCAGTCTGGGAAAGGTGTTGCTGCCTTACCGTGAAGCGATTGGTGGCAATCTATACCTTCATGATACATCGTTTTCTTGACTACGGGACTCAGGTATGATCTGCCAAATGACTGTAGTGCCTCTGAAGCCCGTAAAATGACTGGGGAAAGATGTGGGGTACTGAGGGCCCATGTACCATGAAGATGCCACCTGCTTGGAAGGAATGAATTTGGAGTAAGTTACTGCACAAATAGGGACCATTCAGAGAGATGTCAGGTCATATGGCGTGAATAGCTCAAGGTACCCCATACAACATCAGGGCGCGTGGGGATAAGGGCTCGTTTTCGCCAAATTTTGTCCAGAAGTTTAGGGTGAACCCCAGGAACCTGTACTGATTCATAGTGAGGAGAAAACCTACCAGCCGAGGAGCATACGCCGTGAAACCCTGAGGCGGACTGCAGATTGCAAAGACGTTTTACACATGTAATGGTAATAGTATGTTTCACACAGCTTGTGCTACATGAAAAGAAACCAGTTTACCGGC